CACTAAAAGTAGGTACTTCAGTTGCAAGGTGCAGTTTATTGTGTATACTAGTGTTATGGAAAATTTGGAAGTGCCGTGTAAACGCCGAAAAATTGGTCCTTTAACAGTTAATGAAAAAACATTAATATTTAATTGTTTTAAATCATTTACAGACAAACGTTTATGTGAAAGTGTTGATGAGACCGTTGAGTTAGTTAGCAGTACACTTGGTGTTGGGAAATCTACGATTTACAGAGTTATTAAAGAAGAGAAATGTGGTAGTTTTCAAATGCCACGTAATGCTCCAGGGAAACCAAAATTTCAAATAGAATATCATTTTAAAGAAGGACTTCGACGGAAAGTGCATGAATTCTTCTTTAGACTAGAATTTCCAACATTGGATAAAATTCTTGTCTCAGTTCGAGATGATAAGGATTACCCAGAAATGAGTCGAAGTACGTTATGGAAACTTTTAAAAGAAATAGGCTTCCGCTGGAAAAAGAATCCCAGAAAGTCTATTTTATTAGAAAGAAGCGATATTGTCATATGGAGAAGACATTTTCTAAGAACCATAAAGGAAATGAGAAACCAAAAAAGAAAAATATTTTATCTTGATGAAACATGGATCAACGAGGGTCATACACCAAATAAATTTTGGCAGGATGAAACTGTTACAAGTCAAAGGCACGCTTTTGTAAATAACTTATCTACTGGTTTAAACCCACCATCAGGAAAGGGACGCAGGCTGATAATAGTACACATTGGCAGTTCAGACGGTTTTGTTGAAGGTGGTTTATTAACTTTTGAATCAACTCGTACCGGTGACTACCATGAAGACATGAACGCTGATGTCTTTCAAGAATGGTTCGAACAAATGATAGATCTTCTTCCTAAGAACTGTGTAATAGTAATGGATAATGCAAGTTATCACTCCAGACTTATAGAAGGACTGCCCACAACCAAGTGGTTAAAAAAAGACTTGCAGAATTGGCTGAATTCAAAAAATATTACGTACCATCCCGGATCTATAAGAAAGGAACTTTATTCGTTGTGTGCCCTTCATAAAGAAAAATTTAAAAAATACGAAATTGATGAAATTGCCAAAAATCGTGGAATGACAGTACTTAGATCCCCACCATATCATTGTGAATTAAACCCGATTGAACTGGTATGGGCACAGATAAAGAGTGAAGTTTCAAAAAAAAATACCACTTTTAAAATTCATGATGTTAAACAGTTGTTTTTGGAGGCCGTAAATAATGTAAAACCTTAAAATTGGGAAAAGGCAGTAAATCACACTATTAAAGAAGAGGAAAAAATGTGGAAGCTGGACAATATTACTGATAAAATGATCGAGCCAGTTATTATAAATCTTGGTTCTGAAAGTTCATCTTCTGAATCTGATTTGGATTTGTAACAAGTAGCTGTAAGTTTTATATTAATATTTTTATTCATCTATTTAACATACCTTAGACGGTTTTAAAAACTCTTTTTCTCTTTTGTAATTTTTAAAAATTAAAAAAAAAATGTGAATTTTTTAAAACCCTTTTTAATGTAAGCCAGTCAGTTCTAATATAGTTTGTGATAAAAGAGGTCACTTTTGTTTACATACACATAACACTTTATAACACTGAAATAATTAATTTATTTTTTACAATTATTCAAAGTACTTTTTCAATTAATCTTGAGCACTCCCATGGAGTGGTCCGAGGTACCAGTTAAAATTATGCTAATTACTCTCTCGTTCATAAAAATAAACTATAGTAGGGAGATACTGATACTGATATTGATCATGGATTCAGAACCATAGATCCGGTAGAGGAAGATCATATGGCTTCCCCGGTCGTCAACAAGCGAAATTCCTATAAAAATTCACTAAAATTAAATACACATAAAAGAATTAAAATATTCACGTGGAATGTTAAAAAGTTATATGAGGAAGGAAAGCTTAGAAACCTCTTACTTAAAATGGTCAGACTTGATATCTCTGTATTGGGAGTTTGCGCAACAAAGTGGCCAAGCAATGAACAGTACAATTCTTAAGACTATAGATATATTCCTCTGCAAAGTCTGTAAAAAAATGTGTCCCATTATCAGATCGAATAATGCTTATTTAATTAGCTGCATTCCCAGTGGATATAAATATAATACAAGTATATGCACGAACTGCAGACGAAGACAATACTGTGATTAAAACATTTTACCAACTTGTATCCGAAGCCTTAGCTATGACAAAAAAAAACACAAACTTACTCTTATCATGGGGGACTTAAATGCAAAAGTGGGATCAGAAAGTACTCTCAATATTACTGGAAAGTTCGGTCTAGGACAATGAAATGAAAGAGGAGGACAGTTGGTGCAGTTCTACAAAGATGAAAAATTTGTAATTATGAATACATGGTTTTCTCTACCAAAACGTAGACTATCTTCTAGGAAGTCAGTGATCGAGGAGACAATACTGTAAGAAATCAAATTCATTGTATAACAGTCAATGAATGATTTAAAAACTGCATAAAATCGGTCAAGAGTTACCTAGGTGCCGATATTGGATCAGACCATACTCTACTGTGTTCTACAATCACAGTCAGGCTAAAGAGAGTCTGTAAAAATCAGAAAAGATCCAAAATATCACTAGATGCACTCCAAGACCCATGCACTCTAAATAAACTCTCAAGAAATAAAATTAACTTAACTTCTCACACGGCAAATATACAGCCACAACGGTTCTGCTCAGAGCCAACACTGACAGTAGCGAGCATAAATATCAAGGGCATTACTACAGCCAAACAAGACATCTTATCAGAATTCTGCAAGAACACGAAATGTGAGGTATTGTGCATCCAGGTAACCCACAGAGACCTAACTGCAGCGAGACTGGAAGTCTCCGGTATGAAACTGATTGCGGAGATAAGAATAAACAGAAAGATACAGAATAAGCATATGAGTGCGGTATTTGTGAGAACTCAAACCATAGTCTCACCTGTGGGAACAACAAATGTACACGGTATAGAGATAATAACCACTAATGCACAATAACCTCCGTATACAAGCCCCCAAACCAGCTTTTTATATGTTCACCCGCCCCCCACTAACTTCCAATCACAACCCAATCAGTTTGTACGAAGAGACTTTAACAGTCACAGTTTACTCTAGGGCTATGAAGATTCGGACGCAACTGGAGACGCAGTAGAAGCATGGGCCGAAACGAGTGGTCTCACGTTAATCTATGATCCTAAACTTTCACCATCCTTTCAGTACGAAGTTTGGAAAAGGGACGAAACAAACATTGAATTTAAAAGGGGGGAAGGACTTTAATGCACTACATCATAGTCTTGGGCACAATGAGTTTTTTTATCATAAAAAAACTCATTGTGCCCAAGACTATGATGTAGTGCATTAAAGTCCTTCCCCCCTTTTAAATTCAATGTTTGTTTCGTCCCGTCTAAGTGTTTTCTGTTTTAGTGTGTTTAAATTATCCTTAATTGTTTGTATTTTAACATTTTATTTACTTGACTATTCCAATAATTAACTCATTTAACTACATTAACTCATAACTACAAGTTGGAAAATAATTGCACACCCACACAATTTTTACATCTACACTTATTCATGGTCATAAAACTGTCACCTTCATAAAACAATTACTCAATAAATAACACACATTTCAAAAATATATCTCTGGAATAAGTATAAATAGCCTTTAATAACACAATAGTATATTACATCACTTACATTTAACAAACAATCTCACACATATCTCAAATTCATTGGATCAAATCTATCTCCTCAAGAACTTCCCGTTTACTGTCAAACAACTGCAATAATAGAATTGAGTTCTCCATTCAACAATATAAAGTAGTTTCAACCATGTTCTACCATCCATCTATTAATAGAGTACCGGCATCATTTGTTTAACTTTGTATCGAGACCTGAGGATGCTTTGCATATTGTAGAAAGCGAAACCGGTCGTCTGATAGTTAAATTAAATTGATTGTGAGTAAGTCTTGTTTATTATTTCTTTACCTATTTGAAATGGACTCACACAAGCAACACATTCATGAAGTTTCAAGAAATTGGACTAGAACATTCCAACAACACAGGTGATTGCTGGAAACAAATGAAAACAACAATAATCACTGCATCTCAAGAAAATCTTTCAAGACAACGAACAGTTAAAAATTACTGGATGACTCAAGACATCATCCATTATAATGGACGTTCGGAGGCGGTACACATTCATAAACAGAGAAAAATACAATGAAATACATAAAGAAATCCGAAAAATAATTAAAGTAGCAAAGACCGATGGCTACAAGAATTTTGTTTGGAAATTGAGAAACTGGTGAAATATAATCTAACCAAGATTCTGGCCCGCCGATTCTAATCTCAAAAGTTGAGAAGACAATCGACCAAGCGAAACGAAGGAAGAATTGCAGAATTGTCAAAACTACACACACTGGTATATTTAAAAGAACAAATATAAAATCCGAGTATTTTCTCTCTAGTCTAGAGTGTTAATATTGTTTAGATAATCTCATAAAACGAATTTTGGTGAAGTATTTTGAATTTTTATTACATACACTGTGAAACCTGAGCAGAAATAAAACACAAAGATGTCAGACTCAAACAAAATACGGATTTTAAACACAATAACTCTACAATTTGATGCAAATTCTGAAAAAAAAATTAATGAAATTTTCAGAATTTGTATAAAAACCTTTTCTGAGAACGATTTCCAGGGTGGAAATCAAAACATCAAACATTAATTATTTAAAAATGTGATTATTATCACAATCACAACCAATAATTTGTGGCTTAATCCCATAAAAACATAGACATGCCAGAAGAAAATAGTTTAAAAAATATGTAAAATGTTTCACTCTACCCTCGTAAAACAGAGTAAGTGTTATGACACCCGTTATGACATCTAGTTTTAGCTTTTATAACTGACAGTAGACAACAGGGAATTTAATTTAAAATATATACTTATTTTAAATTTAATTAAAAACTAAATTTGTTACCTGAAACCATTCCTAATACTCCTGGGGCATATATATGAGCACCTCGAAGAATTGCTGAAGCACAATCAGTGTCTACTATAATTTCTTTATCAAACTTTTCAAACTCTGTTGAACAATTTCCACTGTCAATTATTATTACATTGGTAAAAGAAGGATGTATATAAACATTCGGTGTATAATTGCAATTTTCTGCGAAATGGGTGTTTAATACCTTTAAAACTTTGGCAATATTTGTTTTTAATGTATTTACTCTTAAAGAGGTTATTTTTGGCGAAGAACATAACCATTGCTGTATTTTTAATAATTCTTCATTTGAAACCTGAAAATAACCGCTTTTAATTTGTCAGTGTTGCCAACAAAATGTAGAACTTACCGATGTTTTGGTGACACTATCATCAATAAATAAATGTGTTATTAATTTATTGTTGAAAGTTATCTTAAACGGGGAATTGGGGTAAACCATCTTAACTCTTAAGATAATTTTAAATGAACGTAAAATAATTCCGTAAACAAAACAAAATCATAAAACGTGCTATACTGGATAGGTTAGAAGTCGATGACTAAAACTAAAAGGTCACGTGTCATGCGCCAACCAATGCGACACGCTGGTTCTCAAGACGTGGCATGAACTACGATTCTCTTTCAAGTCCGCCATATTGACATTCGACAACTTTTTTGGGAGGACAGGTGAATGTTATAGCGTTTTTCTAAAGTGTAAGGTGTTTATTTTCAAAAAGTAAGTATCATAGTATTCTACAATATTCCAATTTTATCTTAATATAATTTAGTGTAGGTATGCTTTTGAATAAATGCAGTATTTGGTACTTTTTTTATAACTCAGTGGGGTTTGGTTTAAAGTGACAACAAGTCAAAAGTCGGCTTGCATAGTTTTGGTGTAGTTAATTGCTTCATTACAGAAATAATTCAGTTAATTCTCTTCTTAAAGTAACCTCTTATTTTATGTTATAATCAAGTTCCTTGTTATTACAGTAGTATGTTATACTTGTCCAAGAATATCAGATCAATATGTCATTTTTTTAGACCATGTAATAACCTTATATTTTAAATTTCGTCTTTGTTCTAAAATTAGATGCATTCCAGTAATGAATAAGACGTAAAATTTTAACACCAATTATTTCAAAATCTATCTTACGATATTTTACTTTTCAGGTTTATAAAATAAGCAATCACTATGGGTAATGTGTTTGCAAACTTATTCAAAGGCCTCTTTGGCAAAAAAGAAATGAGGATATTGATGGTAGGACTCGATGCAGCTGGTAAAACCACAATTTTATATAAACTTAAATTAGGAGAAATTGTAACAACTATTCCAACAATTGGTGAGTAAACTTTTTGATGACATAGTACTCTACTGTCAATTATTATCAAAAGCTAAATCAATTAGTATTTTGTTTGTTAAAAGATTCCTTTGTGTTCATCTCCTTTGAATTTCATGAGAATGGGGTTGTGATTATAAATGAGTACCCAATTTATTCTCATTAATCATTAATAAAAAAAATAGATGACTCATAAGTAGATCATACACAGTTCAGTGGCCTTGACTGGACACCCCAGACTGTAAAATTTCACCATTTCTTATTTTTTGCAATTGGTCTTATATTTGCTACATTTGTCCAGATGGTCTACATTACCATGTCATTTTTGCTGTGAGAAATATTTGATAAAGACTTATCATATCTAATATATGATGTAGTGGAATATTTTAATTATATTACTTTACTACAATATATCTGTTAAGATTAGAAAAGTTTAAATTGTTTCACCATTGCTGACATCAGCACTTTCTCCCTTCAAGAATATGCTAATAGTGAAGGTTTTAAAATACATTTTACAATTTCAATGTTTCTATTGATTTCGACTTCAATGACCATGTAGTGTTATACTTAATGTTGTTAGGCATTTCTTTTTATCCTTTCCATAAAACTGGGTGTTAATTTATGGCTGTTAACTTAAAATGAAAATGTCTAATTCATTTAAAAATCCTTTTAAAAGGCAATGTTTTAATTTCTTGGTACTCTGAAAAATAGTGTTAACATTACACATTTCCCTAAAGGATATTCGTTTGTGTCTATATCTCAATAAGTCCTGCACTTCATCTGTGCAGAATTGGTTTATCATATATTCATTTCCAGATTGGTTGTCATAAATATTATATATCAAATATGAATGGCACACAATGGATCAGATACAGGAACCCATCTACATTGTCTATAGACAAATTTTGATTTTGGGAGCGGATGTTCTTTAGTCTTACCAAAATTATCTTGTTTGTATGTGACTAACCTGGATTTAATATTAGTATCTGTACCAAGAAATGATTATAAAAAGTATATAATTTTGTTGCCTAAGTTATGTTGTTTAAGTTATTAGTGATAAACAAAAAGAATAAACAAGATTTAGGGTCATTAATGAGCAATAAAAAAATAATGAGACACATCTGACTCAGCTAGGCTTTAAAGAACTTTACAAGCAACAGCGTAAGAGACACATTGAACTCAGCTAGGCTCTAAAGAACTTTACAAACGGATAGGAAAATCTTTGTCAGAGTATTAGCTAACCTCCATTATTGGAGACAATATTCAAAGACGAAGAATCTTAAGCGTGTTTCCTTTACAGCTTCTCACTAATTAACTTTAAGCTGTTATCTGGAGTACCATTACTAATTTTAACACCAGTACCATCATTAATTCCTGTTATAAATATATGTCTTATCAAATTATTCCACATTTCAGCTTCCTTTTGTACTAGTAAACTAACCTACATTATAACTGATCTTTATTTATAGAATTTAACCTTTACCTACTAAATTTTTTCTGTTGTACAATATTAGAGTGCCCAACAGCAAAAAGTTAAGATATACTCTACAAACTTTGGGTATTGCTTCATTAAACAGAGGCCGATACAGTTTCCCTCTGTATTTTTTTTTATTCTGGGTTGTTTTCCTCTAATTTCCAATAAACAGCAGAGAAACAATTTTTCATATTGTCTGGGTTCTGGTTCATAAAAAAAAAGTTCTGGTTCATAAAAAATTTAACTAAAAAAATGAAGTGATACTTAAAGTTTGGAGAGAGTATTGTATCATAAACTACTAGATAAACATCTAATTTTTTAATAGAGAATAAATGTTTTTTATTGAGAGTGAGGTGTAAAAAAATTGGACACTATTAGAAGTTAAAATTAAGAGTGTCTTACTTGAATGTTAAGAGACCGATTATTAATCTCCCTGCAAATCAAGGCAAGAAAAAAAAACAAATAAGCATATTTTGCAGCATAATTTATATTATGAATATAAATTAAAATCCTGAACATCTTATATAATTATATACATTTTATTTCCTGTTTTTTTTTTAATAAAGGTTCTACCTACCTAAAACTATTATTTTTTATAATAATTTTGTCATAAAGTTGACATCATATCTTTAATTACTATTTAACTGGGAATAAGCCACAATTAAAGGTAAAAATATGTCTATTGACGTTTCAATTTACACTTCGTATTTAGTATTTTGAATGATTTCCGAAGTGGAAATTAAAACGTCAATAATATTTTTACCGTTAATTGTGGCCTTTTCCCTGGTAAATAGTAATTAATTTAAAATGCCATAAAAAAAATAGGTTCAGAACAATATCATATCTTTAAATGAACAGTCTACATATTAGATATGTGTTTTGAAAAGTTTTAAACTTTTTTCTCTATGTATGTTGTAAATGGGGTTCCTGTATGTATAACCCGACAAGCGAGAGCTGGCGGGTTGCGCGTAGAACAAATTAAAATGTGGAAGGGATTGCTTATTTCTATTGCAGTCGGCTAGAAGTTCATATCGTGTATAACCGTTGAACTACCTGTACTATATACCTATAATCGCGATTAAGTACCTCTCCTATCTCTCTTAGAATAATTCCTTTTCTATTTTCGCGCAGCTCACCCGCCAGCTCTCGCTTGTCGGACTATACTACATAATATTTTAGTCTTTATATCCTGTGATCTGGCACAAAAGCTGCATCTTCAGTTTACACAATGTTGAATCCCTCTAGCAGGGGTTTCTGACAATGTAACATTGATGTTAAAAAGAAATAAATATATCGCAGTTTTTACAGTTGTGTGAAAATGATTTGTATTCTGTTTCCTGTTTAGAGTGTTTGGGGTGAAAGTTCTTATGCTAATTTTTGTAAAAGATCATTAGCTTACTTACGCCATTACTTTTCTAATTAAGAAACTGTTTAGTGAATATAATATAGGCATTGAGTGCAGCCATATCAATAATTTCCATAAAAATCCTAAATGGCCATGTCCTACTTGAATGATCAAATGTATATTCTCTGGTCATTTTATCTCCAGCATCAACTGACCCTTTGGTTTTATTATAATGTAAAATAATTTCAGGTTCATGTTTTGCTTTTTCATCAGAAGATATTTTATCACTGTGAAATTTGTTGATAAAAGAATTACTGCTTTCTTTTTTGTAGGTACTAATGTGATATCATTAGAAATTCCAAATATAGAGAAACATTCTTCAGGCACAGAATTCATTACAAATTCGGTAGGAATGTATTTTTTTGTTAGCCCTTAGAGTTACTGTACTTGTAAGTTGACATCTTAGCAATTCTTCAGCTATGGTAATTGAGGTAAAAAATTATCTGTGGTAACTCTACACCCAGATACAAAATAGGGTCTAACCATATATAAAACTAGCCAAAAACCCTTATTTATTTCTCATTGATTTTCTAAAATTTCAATATACATCTGATTGTTCAAAATGTAAGCAGTATAAGAGTCTGAACAAATCCAAATTTTTTATTCCATATCAACCAGGTTTACTTTTTATATAAACTCTAAATGAATATTTTCCTCTGAATGCAGCTGTGGAGGGGTCATCAAATCAGTGTCTGTATATAAACTTGAATCTATCTCGAAACATTACAGCAGTAAAAAAATGGATATTTGAATAGTTAATTTTCAGCACACATTTCTGCTAAGTGAAGTGATTTTCCGTGATTCCTCCCGCTTGTTATAAGCACTACAAGGAATATTTCAGTAATTGTAACATTTTTTGCTTTATTTCAAGCAGTGTAAATATTAAATTTATAATTGTTGTGTTGTCCTTTTTATCAAAAATTTGCCACCAAGAGAACATATATTAGGTTTTCCATTATTTTATTTATCACACACATCAGTGAGTCATAAAGCATTCAGCTTACCACAGTTGTTTTAAATATTTGGTGTTTAGTTTTGCCTTCGCTCTATATAATCCAGTGTAATTGTTTTTTTTTTATTATTATTTTATTTATTATATCCATTTAATCTGATCCTATACTTGTTGAAAGTTTATCCTCAAGTATTTATATTGAGTTGCTTATTTTATTGAATTGTTATTCACCCCCAGGTCTTTGTGGTTATTCCATGTATTGCATTTTATTAGAATTAATTTTCAAACCCCATTTTCAAAATTCTTCTTTTAGTTATTTTATCATATAGACCATAATCATGTTTGTCTTCTTCTAAAATTATTTGATCAACAAACAAAAGCCTGTGGATATAGTTGTCATCCATTTCTATATTTACTATTTTTTGAAAATATTGGTTGATCTTGTAGTGGATATTAAAATATGTTTGGTTATACACAATAAAGATTATTTTATTTATTACTTGATATATTTATTCAAAAATAGGGAAAGCCCTAATACACACAAAAGTAATAAATTTATAACATTAATACAAAGATAAAAATAACAATTACACTTAAAATATAATACATACACTTATTAAAAATATAAAACAATATATAACATAAAACACAACTAAAAAACAACACCTAACTATTGGAGCTTTTCATATGGTCCATTAATTAGCTTTTAAACATTTGTACAGATCAACAACTTTTAGCTTATTAAGCTTATTAAAAATATCAAAACACTGAATTAACAAGGAGTTTCTTGAAGCTCTCCTTTTTGTTTTCACAATGTGTAAATTGCAATTACCCCGAGTAGTGTATTTGTGAATATCACAATTCTGCGTAATAAACTCACCAAAGTAAGAAGGGGCCAAACTATTGGCCCCTCTTTACTTTTGTGAGGTAAAAGCCCCTTTGTCGAACTTAAAACCCATTGCAGCATGCTATGATTTTCATTCCATGATTTTGTAAGTTTTGCAACTGGGCCGATTGATTTAGATTAAGAGAATAATAACAGATAAGCAAAAAATTGAAGTGAGGTTGAATAATTGCATAATGTCTAATTAAAACACAGTAAATTATCCATTTGAACACCATGGTACTTAATTGATGGGGTGATTTCTATTTTAATAACAATATAGATTCAAATGTGATGATTCTGTGGTTGTGTGTTGTAAAACCATATTGGTAATACCCATCTTGTCATGCCTCATCATCAATTTGAGTTATGAGTGAATTATTGTATGTTTAAATCTTGATTATTTAGTTGGAAACAGGATTTCAGTGTACTTGCTTATTATTCTGTCATGAAAACCTCAATATATTGAATAGTTTCTCTGGTTGTGTATTTTTAAACCATCAGTTGATAATACCTTTTTGTAATGTCTCATCGTCAATTTAATTTACAAATGACCTTTATATTGTCCATGTCAAGCCAGAAATGTCACATCATTTTTGACATGGTAACCACTAGTATAAAGCTGTATAAATAAACAATTGCATTGCCTTCTAAAATTATGATTTTTTTAAATCATAAACTAGAAATTTTCAGTCATAATTTTTTAATTAATTGAGTATATTTCTTAGTATTAAAATTTGATTGTTATTTAGGTTATATTGAATATAGTTTATGGTTTTTTTTGTGGGTTATATTGAATAGTTAGTTTGAATATAAAATAATAAATTCAATATATTCTTCAAAAATGATTCCTATTTTTAACTATGCTATAGCTTCTTTAGATACAACAAAGCTTAAAACAAAAAATACTATTACAGTTATGTGATGAGATTTTGCTTGGTCATTAAAGGAGATTATCATTAGGGGGAAACTTCAAAAATCCATAAATATAGAATCAAAGGCTGATTAGGACCAATTATACAGTTTTTGTTGAATTTATGAAGTGAAACTATGTAACAACTTTAGCATAATAAATTCAGTAGTGTTTATTAATAAGTTAGTTTTACTTGCACCATTTGTTATTAAATAAGTCTGATTTGGTCAAAAAGTGTTTAAATATAAACAAGATGATGAGGTCTCAGAGTTTTACTGCAAACTCTTGTGAAACTCTCTACTTAATTTGATAGCTACTATGGACTTTCCAAGTTCCTCACCATATCTGTAAATAATTAGCAGAAGAATCATACAAAAAGAAAATATACCTCACTTTACTTATTATACTTAGTTTTTTTTTTATATATATGTTTAACAATTTTACAATTTAAATTTACAGTTTATGTGTTAATAAAGTAATTAAACATTTTTAATATTTTCTGAAAAAAATAATACAATTGAAATCTATTAGAATACTTTGACAATTAGTATTAATTTGTATGTTGCTTTTGGACACTCAAGTAATACATCATGTTCCCATTCTACAACAACTAAAGTATGGGTTATCTATAATTTTCATTTTGTGCTTGTTGTATTGTGTTAGTGCATTGTTAGCATACATTTCATTTATTGTTCTGACAAAGTTTCTATTTAGTATTTTCTAGAACTATGATTCTGGTAATTCTATTTTGCAGTTTTACAAAATTTAATCCATTTGTTGATTTTATATATATAAGTTTTGCTACATTATACTAATTTCGTTTTTTTTTTGTTTTATCTTCTCTTTATGTTCAGTTCCTCTCCTGTAGTTGCTGCTTTTGCCAGTCTATTCACTATTTCATTGCCTGTTATATCTATGTGTCCCTTTAACCATAAATATGATGACTTTTTGTTGTCGAAACATTTGTATTCTCTCTACCAATCAAACTAGTCAATAATTCATTAAATAGGATTAAATATTTTTTTAAAGAAATACAATAATCATGTTTATCTACTACTATGCATCATAAAAATGTAATACTCATTATTTAGTTTTAGAATAGCTTTACCTTAAATATCTGAAGAAGCCACAATGTGGCTTTATCTAATAGATATTTAATTTGAATACTCCTACAATATTTAATATCATATCTTGTTGCAGGATTTAATGTGGAGACTGTAGAATATAAGAACATTAGCTTTACAGTATGGGATGTAGGTGGTCAAGATAAAATTAGGCCATTGTGGAGACACTATTTCCAAAACACACAAGTAAGTTTTAGTGTGTTATTTCTATTTTTTTTATTATTATTTAAATTTAATACAAAGTATAATATGGTAACTTTAATGCATTCTATTTGATATCATATCGGTACAAAGTGAATTTATAAACTAAACCAGTAAATATAAAAGAATACAGTATATCTAAAATACATTGGTTTCTGGTCTTAAAGACCAGAGAAGCACTATTCAGTTTGCAGGTCATGATTCAAAGATGTAGGGATATAGAACAATCAGTATATATGTGTTTTATCAACTTCGAAAGGGCCTTTGATCGAGTAAGCCATGACAAACTTAAAGGTGTCTTTCAACAGGTGGGAATTGATGACCGAGATATATAAAAAATTTGTATTGGCATCAATGTGCAAACATACGTGCTGGACACAACACGACGGAAGCAGTGGAAATACCACGTGGAGTGAGGCAAGGATGTATTCTATCGCCTCCACTTTTTAATATCTACTCCGAATTTATTTTCAAATAAGCCTTAGTTGAAGATACAGGCATTAAAATCAATGGAATTAATGTCAACAATGTCAGATATGCAGACGACACAGTACTTATTGCCTCCAATGAAGAAGAGGTGCAACAACTTATAAACAGGGTAACCGAAGCATGTGATGAATATGGGCTAAAACTTAATACTTCTAAGACAAAACTTATGGTTGTTAGCAAAACGGAGTTACAATCAAAGAACATCAGAGCGTATGAAATAGAGTTAGAAAGAGTCCACAATATTACCTACTTGGATGCAAACGTTAACGATAACTGGGATATAAATAAAGAAATAGGAATATGCATATGCATTGAAAAAGCCAGAGCCGCCTTCTTTAAATTAAAGAAAATTCTAATTAATAAAGATATTAAGTTTAACCTTAAAATCAGATTTAGTATGCTGCTACATATTCTTCACATTGCTGTATGGTATGGAGAGCTGGACCCTTACAGAGACATTAATGAAAAAATTAGAGGCCTTTGAGATGTGGATTTATCGACGAGTATTGCGGATAAGTTGTTGGAACAAGCAGTTATTTTGCGAATATAATGCCAATTTATCAAAATTGTTTTATTAAATTTTTTTGAAAAACAATTTTTTTTATGAAATAACATTTTTTATGATGTATGGAATTATTTTAGCGGCTTAATTATATATTTTATATTGCTTACTACTATTTAATTGTTTGATAATCGAAAACTGTTGAACGAAGTATATATTGGAGCATAATTAAACTAAAAGAATTCCGATAAGTTGGTATTTTATTCGCAAAATAACTGCTTGTTCCAACATATAGTTGTTAGGGCTTTTAGTCATAAAGTGAAGTAATATAATCGTCCCATAGGGTAAATGGAGGGGTAAAATATGAGGTACGAAATGTGTATGAAGAACCAAAAACAAAAAAATAATTAAGAAGAATTAATGACAGTACCAGACTGTATGAGCTGTGTTAAATGTATAATGAAATTTTGATAAAGAAAGTCGTCACATATATGCAAATATAATACATGTAACAAGCACAGTTGATAAAAAAATTCGATATTATATTGACTACTTTAACCTTCAAAAATTCAGATAACAATCTATTTAAATAAATTATTTTAACTGCAAACTTTACCTTATTTTACTTCCTATCTATCACAAAATAGTTTTAATATATATATATATATATATATATATATATATATATATATATATAAATAATAATAATAATAATAAACCAGGCAAGGAACCATAAATTTTATAAATTTATTGACATATATTTAGCTATATTATTAACCATTGGAATTTAGAAAGAGCTACATATTAAAAATCGGCTTGTGATTAAGAAAATACATTTGTGTTTGAAAGATACAATCTTTGTTTATTCTTGCAACCAGCACTTGATTCTTTAAAATAGTATGTAAAGATAGTGAAACATTGTTTTCATAAGCTTATAAGCTATTGTGTGGAATTATTTCTGATAACATTATCTTTTTCTTATTGTTTTGTCCATGTTTCATTCGTGACTTCATCATAAATTAAGCAAAGGTGATTTGGCAATGGTGGAAGTTGTCTGCTGCATCATCCTTTTATAATATCAACCGCAAACGAAAAAATAACAGAAGGAAATATTTTTTTAAGTCGCGTCATACTTTAGACAATCGGGTTATTGTGCTTATTTCATTAACTATGCTCTTCTATTTTTTACCCAGTTTCTGATGTTCTCCACCTTGCATCTATGTCGTATATCTGTACTTCTAGCTCTGTCCCATAGTGTCTTACCATCAATTTTTCTAAGTGTTGTCATCTCTGCTGTTTCTAACATCCTTTTTGTCCTCTCTGTGTCAGGTCTTGTTTCTGCCGCGTATGTCATTATTGGTCTGATGACTGTTTTGTAAATTCTGCCTTCCGTTTCTCTCCCGATATTTTTATTTCTCCATATTGTTTCATTTAGGCAGCCTGCGGCTCTGTTTGCTCTATTCACTTGGTCTTCCACGTCGGTTTCGAGTAGAGACCGACCGAATGTGAATTTTTTGGCCGAAGCCGAAGCCGATGCCGAAGTTCGGCCTGAAGGATACCTTCGGCCGAAGCCGAAGCCGAAGGTGACTAAAAATATACCTATTACCTATTATATGTTAATAATTTAAATAATGTGCATTATATTGTTATTAACTGATAAGTCATAAACAAAAATATAAAATTATGAGATAAAAAAGTCAAATATTTATACATTATTTGGTAATAGAAGCGATAATAAAAATAAATAACATTAAAAAACATTAAAGCAAGTGAGTATTTATGATTACTGGATCTGGTAGTTAATATTCGAAATCAAACATCCTAATATTATACGCAAGAAAAAGAAGCTTGTCAGCATCATATATTTCACGGGTAAATAAGTACTATTAGCAAAGCTGCACCCACGAGAGAATAAACTTAAACTGTTGTAAAATATTTAATATTTGCATTCATAGTCGATGGTCGATGTTTTGCCATTAGGTATCTATTCAAAACACCAGTAATCGTGAGTTTTAACAAATACAATCAAATTATTATCATAATTTTACTACGTGAGAAATATTCAAATGAAGATATTTAAGACATCTTGGCCTATTGTTAAAATTTATATCCTACCTACTATTACCTGACCTGAAAGTTTGTAAAACGTTTTAGTTGAGGGTAGAAAATAGTGTGTAAATATTATTCAAATTATCAAAGACTCGCCGAAGCGTATTGTTCAGAGATTATTTCATTTCTATAGTCACCTTCGGCAAAACCTTCGGCTTTGTTTTGGCCGAAGCCGAATTTTGGCCGAAGGTTTAAATATTGGCCGAAGGTGGCCGAAGCCGATGCCGAAGCCGATTAATCGGTCGGTCTCTAGTTTCGAGTAATCCGTAGGTAGATAATGTGATGCCTAGATATTTAAACTCCATCAGTTGCTCTATTATCTGACTTTCCAGCTCCAATTTACATCTAAGTAAATTTGCTGTTGTAACCATGCATTTTGTCTTTGTTGGGGAAATTAACATGTTAAATTTTCTGGCGGTTATATTAAATTGGTACAGCATACACGTTGTAAATCATCTTCACTTCGAGAGAGTAGTATTGCGTCGTCTGCATAGCAGATTATTTTAAGTTGTTTTACTCCCATTTGGTATCCTTTTTTTGATCATACTTTTTTTATTATTTCATCCATTCTTTTAATTGTGACTGTTATTTTCTCTTGTTTTGTTCTTTTCCATAGTTCTGAGTTTATTTTGTCAGGCTAGTAATTTGTATGTATATAATTAATATCAATTAGAATGAAAAAAAAACACAATTGTGAATAATAAAATCCACTGGTTAGGTTAATATTGTTCCTGGCTATTAGCAGCAACAAACTGCCCTTATGAGTGTTTTTGGAACTGGTTACTGTTTGTGTGATCTAAATTTTGTTTAGATATATAAAAACACTTAAATCGAATAAAAACATCTTGTATATATGCATATTTCAGTTTTGATTTTTTTTTAAAGGAGTTCATTAGAGTGGTTGTGGATTAAGTTATGAATATGATGCTTCTTGGATGGTATCCAAAGGCTTGATGATTCTGCTACTTTTATATTGAATAGAGCAGGATGTTTGCAGAATTCAAAATGTTAGGAACGAAATGTTAATTCAAAAAGGTAAAGAGACTCTTTTCCACAAGAGTCTGCAAAGAGTTTGTTAAATGTCTGTAACATTTATCTCTCTATCTATCTCTCTCTTTCTCTCTCTCTTTCTCTCTCTCTCCCTCTCTCTCCCCCTCTCTCTCTCTCTCTCTCTCTCTCTTATCCTCTAAAAAGTTTTGCTGTAGGAATTATTTTTTTGTACTCTAGGTATGCAGAGTGAAGTTTAATTTAGTGTCTAGTTCAATGCTCAAATATTTTACAGATGTTAAAGGCTTTATATTGTTGCATATCTTGATAGTTTGAGAATATTTGTATATTGTATATTTGAAAGTAAGCAATTTAGATTTTGAAGGAATTATTGTTAATCTCCAGTTACCTGACCTTAAGAGTATACTATCTATTTTTGTCTATAGATGACTTCTTATACTAAAGACTGGGATGTTTTTGTAACATATTACTGCGATGTCATCTGTAAAATGGAGTATATTACCATCATTGATTTGGTGTTTACATCTATCACTGCAGCACATATGTCTAATGTAGGCGATCCTTGAAGCACATCCTGATGGGTACTAAATTATTGGGAGCGATGACCATTGATTTTAGCGATGCCCTTTTTGTCTTATGAGAAACTTAAGATCAGCCTTTTAATTAATTTTTTGCCAAGAAGATACATGTAGTATTAATATTTTCAATAGTTTTTGCTTCCTTTGGTTGATAAAAATCACTAACAGCTGCATAAAACAAATGATTAACTTATAAAATTGAACATGCATGATTTAAAAACGGCCACTTTAAAGAGAAGTGGTCCGATCATCTAGCAAAAATACAGTATAGTTAGTGGGCTAGAAGAATGATGTAAGAG